ACGTTGGTGACCAACCAGGGAATGTCTTGTCTATACGGTCGCAGAATGAAACTTCTGCAGATGGTCAGGCGTGCTTCTCGGTCATGGTCAGTCCATGCATGCTGTTTCATCGATTCATTCTGCTACAGTCCATTCCATTCAGGTGTCGACTCATGGAGCGTAGGCTGCGCCCAGATGTTTGCTACAGTTTCCTGCTAATAGCGTCCGGATGCACTTCCTATTCGTAGCGCAAGCGGTCCTCATCGAAAGTGATTGGAGGTCCGTGATGAGGTCGAACTTTGCAGCTCCTATCGCCTTTGCGTATGCTATTGAGCCAATAGCTCAGTGCCCGATCAGTAGCAAAGACTGGGGCAAACGTAGCGCTGATCTTGCCTACCGCGCTCCTTGCAAGGTTCTTCTTAAAATTGTCGCAAGGCAAAATCGTTGGGTTTGGTTGTTGATCTATTTTGATTCCTACTTAATTATTCCTTTATCCCGGCTGAAGGTCCTGATGTGTTCTTCAACATATTGACTTATTTCATCATGAAGCTAATTTGACATGAAGAAAATTGAATTTGAACCAAAATCGGCCAGAAATTATGGGTTAACCCCATACATATTGCCTGCTACTGGGTTACTGTTGCATAATGTTTCCTTCTCTTCTTCCTAGCGGTCAGGTCAAGCACACTAGCAGGGTTCGCTGTCTTTGTCAGCCAATGCCTCGCTTATCTATGGCATCTTTTGTCATGGGCATGACTTCAGTGAAGCCCTACTTGCTGAGTTTTCTTCATCCCTTCCTTGGGGACCCACGCTGTCCCTTGCCTCGCGTTGCGGATCTAGTGCTTTTCTTATCTATCACATAATATGGGCACCCGCCAGGAGGCCCGTCTCACGACGCGATGGCAGAGACACAGACGTGTCGGCGGACGAGTCGCAACGTGAGGGATGCGACCGTGGGAGTGATTTGGCGCCAACTTAAATAGAATGTTTTACAGTTTCATCCCGCATAACACATCGTGCGCTGCGACTCGTCCGCTGACCCGTCTGCATTTCTCCTCGTGCGACGGGCTTCCTATAGGATACCCGCATAACGTTATATATACCAAAATATTCACATGAATATTAATCCAAAATATTTCCATAATAATCACAAATTAGGGTACACACAGTGGGCATATGCGGCTCCGATGTCCACTATTGGACCCATGGGGCAATTGGAAATTTGTCGTGGAAGAGCCGATGGTGAGCTTTAGCATTGAGTTCATAACTATGTATTCTATATTATTTACAATATATTTATGCTTATTGGAACATACAGGTACTTGGACATGAGACCAGTGGTACTGTAGTTGCTGTGGGCAGCGTAGCGGAAGGTTTTGCTGTAGGCGATCGCGTAGCAATAGAGCCAGGCGTACCGTGTCGAATGTGCACGCATTGCAAGGTGAGTACTTTTATGTGGTCCTTCCAGAGTTCTCATGAGCGGTGATCGGTGATTCATACAAGATCTCGTCTGTAGAAAATTTGAGAAAACTATTGGAAATTGTAGTTGTTTTTACTTCTGCTCGAGGTTGTTAGGTGGTAAGTTTTATTCTGGCCAACGTTTCGACCGTCGTTTTCCAAGGCCTGAAAATGGCTCAAAACTTACGAATTGCACACTATCCCACCAAACGGTTCCTCCGCTCTAGCGTTTCTGACATTCTGTCAGGAATCTGCTATTGAAAATTATTTTTTGTGAAGAGCAAATGGTGGTGATTGCTTCAATTACAGCACATAGACCCATAGATCGCAGACTGCTGTCTGGCAACTTATCGTTTTGTCCGATGAAGACTGCGGTAATAATTCGCTCTGCAGAAAAAATCTTTATTCGCCTTGAAGGCAGGTGACACGGTGAACTGGACGCTGAATGAAACCAAAATGTGTCTGCTATTGAGGGAGGCTGGTCCCTAACGAAGCAAGAGATGCCGCTGATGGCAAGAAGGCGCTCGTAGCGACGTAAAAAGACTTGACCTATCCCTGTAGATCCTTTCGCGCCTTTGCCCATGTTCCATTCGGCTATCCCAGTTGCTAGTTCCTCGCCGTCGGCTTTAGCAAAGAGGCAGAGTTTATTTGTTTTGAACGATATAGTATTCGAAATTATCCTTAACACATTGACGACATTGAGACGCGGTAACGCGTCTCACTTTGCGCACCTCGTTGGACATTGAGACGCGTTACCGCGTCTCACCCTTGTCATCCCTTTTTCTAGCGTATGCGGGGATTCTTCCCAATTTGCTTGCCTCTATTCTATGGATTAGAACATAACATAACTGTAAACGACATGGGTCACGTATGATCAAATATGCTCCAGTTTAGCAGAAGTTTTTTAAGCACAGCGGAATTGGCAGCTCGGTTCATTCCTCGTTTTCTTCCTATTCTGATGAACATGTCAGTGAGAAAAGGTAGTGAAAGTAAATACAAACTTAAAGGGATAGAAAGATATATGTTTCACTTGACACATCCACATCGAAAATAGTTTTGGCATCCGTACAGAGAGAAAAGGACTTGAATTCCAATTTTCTTTACCATTTCACGTTTTTTGATCGGAATTTCGCTACTATATCTTCGATTACTTTCTACGCATTGAATATTGCTGAAATGGTTTCGTACCTTTGAAGCTTCCCAAAGTTATCGTTCGAAATTTACGGGTGTGAGGTGTGACGGCCGCGCTCGCAAAAGCGCCCTTGTCCCACGCGGTGCAAAAACCCAAAACGCGCGATGTCGTCAACGTGTTAATCACTTAATTTAGCTACATACATACATTGAATGTAGGTCCTTTATCAGGGCAATCCCAGATGGGAAGACAGAGAAAATAAAAGGATTTTTCGTCCCTCATCCCTTTCAGGGAGGATAGCACACGACCTTAGACGGAAAAGCACCTTAAGTAGTGTGATGGGGTACGGTCGCTTGTGACTAAGTCGGGGATGGGGCCTTGGTCCATTGTGGGATACGTGCCGGGCAGTGAAGGAGGCGTATTATCGTATTTTTTGACACTTGGCTACCTTTCCTTCACACTCTTATGGAGTAGGCAACTGATTGGTCGCTTGTGCCGCAACGCATCCGCGCGCGTCTGGAACACCTGTTTGGGAGTATAAATAGTTTACACCATGTATATACTAGAAAGATTGTTGAAAGCGTTCACTATCGAGATTTTAGAGTGAACCGGAGGAATATAGTATCAGTTATTTTTGCAGACTATATATTTCAATTTAGACGGGCAGGTACAATTCTATGTGGTGATATGAGGTTCTTTGCTACACCTCCTATTGATGGATCTTTGGCACGATACGTTGCGTACGATGCGGACTTCTGCTATAAGTGAGGCGGATACTGTTCCTGTGGGCACTACATAATTTAGTGTTTGTGCTTCAGGCTACCCGACCATGTGACATTTGAAGGAAGGAGCCCTTTTGGAGCCACTTTCTGTGGCCGTACATACCTGTCGAAGATCTGGTGTTCAGATGGGACAACGTGTTCTGGTACAAGGAGCAGGTATGACAGATGAAAAACAGCCGATGATTAGTGTAAAGTTCTTACCTGTTCACACTCAACTTTAGGCCCTATTGGGACTCTCTGTATGATGACAGCAAGAACGTTGGGTGCTGCCTGAAGTGGTCATCACTGATCTTAACCAGGATCGCCTCAACTTGGCTAAAGAATTGGGAGCTGAGCATACGATATGTGTTAAGTACGTTATTGAATTCTAAGCAATATCCCATTATCTATTATTAGGATCATTCCAGAGGGAAATCACCAGCCGAGGTGCGAGAGGCAGTCATCGAGTCACTGGGAACTGAGCCAGACGTCGCTTTAGAGTGTACCGGAGCGCAGTCATCTATCGAATCGGCAATATTGGTATGCATGTCGATGGGAGTGATGTTTAAAATTCAGAAAACAGAATAGAAGAATTTTTCAGACTACTCGTTCCGGTGGTGTGGTTGTACTGGTGGGGCTTGGAGCGTCACGAATAGAACTGCCCGTGGTGGAAGCAGCCGTTAGAGAAGTCGATCTCAGAGGCGTATTCAGATATGTGAATTGGTACGTGTATCTCTCAGAATTCCGGATCAGATTCAAATGGAGAAAGTGGGCTGAACTTGAGTTCAAAAAAAGAACGAGGGTATTTTCGGGTGTTTTGGAATATTTCTCTAGTTCTCAGGTCTTTTTTGTCCTCATATTGATTTTTTTGAGACATCAACTTCCCTTCTCTTCCAAATGTTTTCGCTTCATAGCTAATTTCTGACACATTCATTTCTTTTTTTTCGTTCCCTAGTTTTTTTATTTGTTGTGGTTGTAGATACCCGATCACTTCCACTCTTTCAGTTATCCGACCGCGCTCAACCTCGTCGCGTCTCGAAAAATCGACTTATCTGGGCTAACGAGGGCTCGCTATCCCTTGGAAGATACTTTGAACGCCTTCAAGCGAGCTCAGAAAGCTGACGTTATCAAAGTGTTTATTAACTGTGATAAGTGGTAGATCAACTTCAATATAAATTCGCATATCGCTGTGAACAAATAA